TTAGGAAAATCGGAAGATGCCAAAAATGAACTGGAACACATACAGATCAATGTCCTAGGCATTGTTAAGCTGAAATGGACTGGTATTGGCTATTTTGAATCAGATAATCATTATGATTTACTGTGTGGGGGTATGACAAATTGAAGAGTAATGGCATCCCATTCATCTCAAAATCTATCTTGAAGTACAATGCTGTTTGTGATTGGATAATTTCCATAAGCCTACAAAGAAGATCAGTTAATACCATTATTATTCGCATTTATGCATCAACCGCTAAAGCCAGTGATGATGAAATTGAAGAATTCTACCAACTTCTTCAATCTGAAATTGATCAAAAATGCAATCAAGATGCATTGACAATTACTGGTGATTGGAATGTGAAAGTTGGAAACAAAGATAAAGGATCCACAGTTGGTAAATATGGCCTTGGTGATAAAAAATTATGCTGGAGATCACATGATAGAATTTTGTAAGACCAATGATTTTTCATGGCAGATACCTTTTTTAAACAACACAAAAGGTAACTATACACACGACCTCACCAGATGGAATCCACAGGAGTCAAATTAACTTCATTTGTGGGAAAGACAATAGAGAAGTTCAATATCATTAACCAAAACAAGGCCAGGAGCCCATTGGGTAATAGACTATCAATTGCATTGGGTTGCAATAGTGGAGGATTCTATGAATGCAATTTTGAATGATGCAGAAAGCATCAAAAGAAGAAGGAAGAAATACACAGAATCACTGTCTAGAATCACTGTCACAGACTCAGCAGAATGTGGAAATCACCTAACATTACTCACATACAAGTAAAATTTTACTTAAAATAATTAAAATTCTTGCAACAATACGACAGGTAACTGCCAGAAATTCAAACTGGATTCAGAAGAGGATGTGGAACTAAGGATATCATTGCTGACATCAGATGCATCTCTTGGCTAAGAGTAGAGAACACCAGAAAGATGTTTACTTGTGCTTTACTGACCCTGCAAAGACTTTCTACTGTATGTATTATGACAAACTATGGATAATATTGGGAGTAATGGGTATTCCAGAACACTTTAATTGTTCTCAAGAGAAACCTGTACATACACCAAGAAGCAATTCTAACAGAACAAGGAGATACTGAATGGTTTAAATTCAGGAAAGGTGTGTGTTAGGGTTGTGTCCTTTCACCATACTTATTCAACTTGTATGCTGTATTCAACTTATTCAAATAATCTAAGAAACTGGATTTTTAAAAAAAGAATGTGGTTTCAGGATTGGAGGAGGACTCATTAACAAACTAAGATATACAGATGATGCAACCTTGCTTGCTGAAAGTGAAGAGGACCTGAAATACTTACTGGTAAAGATGAAAGACTACAGCCTTCAGTATGGATTGCACCTAAATGTAAAGAAAATAAAAATCCTCATAACTGGACCAATAAATGACATCATGATAAATGGATAAAAGATTGAAGTGGTCAAAGACTTCATTTTGCTTGGTTCCATAATCAACAATCATGGAATCAGCAGTCAAGAAATCTCACAATGTATTACATAGGCAGTTTAGGTGAAAATGACCTCTTTAAAGTATTCAAGAGAAAAAATAATCAGTTTGAGGACTAAGGTATGCATGACCCAAGCCATGGTATTTTTCAGTAGCCTCACAAGCATGTGAAAGTTGGACAGTGAGTAAGAAAAACTGTAGAAGAATTGATGAATTTGAATTATGATGTTGTAGAAGTATATCAAGAGTACCATGCATTGCCAGAAGAATAAACAAATTTGTGTTGAAAGAAGTACAGCTTGAATGCTCCTTAAAAGCCAGGATGGTGAAAATTTGTCCTAATACTTTGGATGTAGTGCCTGGAGAAGGGCATCATGCTTTGTAAAGTTGAGGGTCAGTGAAAAAGAAGACCTTCAGTGAGATGACTGATATAGTGGCAAAAACAATGCCCTCAAACATAACAACAGGTGCAGGACCAGGCTCTGTTTCATTCTGTTTTGCAGAGGATCCCTATGAGTGGGAACCAAGTAGAAGTCACCTAACAACATCATATGTATGGGCAACTTTTTTTTTTTTTTAATTAATGTTTTATTGTAAATTATGTGACAGTTTACGTGGGATAACAGTAGCTTTACATTCATCCTATTGTATATTGTTTCATTGCCATGGTTACAGTCCCGTCCCTGCATCATCAACCAACCAAAGGGTATACCCTGCAAGCCTGCCCCCTGGTCGTCAGCACACAGCCCCTCTCCCTTTCTGGATCTAAAGTCCCCAGCTGCTCCATCCCTCCACATCACTGTCTCTGCCTCCATCTCAGGCATCACTGCTTCTTTGGGTAGGGTCCCACTCTCCGCTCTTCTCCCTTGATGGTCCCAGGGACCTCTGCTCCTAGACTGAAAAGTTAATCACTCCCCTCCTTGCTGGGCGACTTCTTCTATGGTTCTGTCTATGGTCTGTCCTGTGAAATATTTTATCTGTGCTTAAAAGCACATGTTAATTTATCTTTCTTTGTGTGTTTTGTTGTTTTTGTTAAGTGCCCTTAAGTCGATTTTGACTCCTAGCGACCTTGTATATAGGGTTTCCAAGAACTGGCTGGTTGATCTGAATTACCAGTCTTGTGGTTAGCAGTTCAGTTCTCATCCTACAGTACCACTCTAGTATCCTGTTGTTGTTGTTAAATGCTGTTGAATCAGTTCTGACTCATAGTGACCATGTATAGGGTTTGTAAGGAGAAGTTAGTGAGCTTGAACTGCCAACCTTGTGGTTCAAACTGTCTTTGCAGTCCAGCGCATTAACCCACAGCACCACATAGAATTCCAGATAGTGATCTATAAATGCCTATTATGTCAAATTGTTTTATAATATTACAGCGATCTTCTATGTCCTTACTGATTTCCTGTTATTGATTTTATGCTACTAAGAAGGAAATGTTGAAATCTCCTACTTAACTGTGGATTTATATTTCTTCTTTTAGTTTTATTTATTTTTGTTCATGTGCTTTGAGTCCTTTTGTAGGTACATAGATACTTAGGATTATGTTTTCTTGATAAATGAATTCTTTAATTACTAGGAAATAGCTTTATTTTTCTTTAGTAATATTCCTTGTTCTGAAATCTAATTAGCTTTATATTAAAATAATCATTCCATCCTTCTTATAATTAGTATTTGCTTGGCCTATCTCTTTTCATCCTACTACTTTCAATGTGTGTGGGTTTGTTGTAGGCAGTATATATGTTGTTGTTGTGTGTTGTTGAGTCTGTTCTGACCCACAGTGACCATGTATAGGGTTTCCGAGGAGTAGCTGATGAGCTTCAACTGCCGACCTTGCGGTTCAAACCAACTTTGCAGTCCAGCACATTAATATCCTGTGCTACACCAGAACGCCAAGGAGCTCTGGTAGCGTAGTGGTTACAAATCGAGCTGCAAACCTTAAGGTTAGCGGTTTGAAACTACCAGCCGCTCTGCGGGAGAAAGATGAGGCTTTCTACTCCCGTAAAGATTTACACCCTCGGAAACCCTGTACAGGGTCGCTATGCTTCGGACCCGACTCGATGGCACTTAACAACAACAACAACAACAACAACACCAGAACGCCAGGCAGTATATATAGTTAGCTCTTTTTTTTTAATCCACTCTAGCTTAGCCTTCTAATTGGATTTTTTGTCCATTTGAACTTTGAACTTATCAATATGGTTGGATTTAAGCCCGCCATCTTTTTGTTTTATGTTTGTCCTGTCACTGTTTCCAGTGTTCTTGGTGGAGGATTGGATCATTGCGATCCATAGGGTTTTCATTGGATGATTTTCAGAAGGCGATCACTTGGCCTTTCTTCCTAGTCTGTCTTATTATGGAAGCTCTTCTGACACCTGCTCAATAGCAAAACACAAACCTCCAAGCTGCTTTATGTTCCCAGAACTCTGATCTCTCGCCCAACCAGACTTGTGTGCTTTAATTGGAGTACCCCTCCCTGTGCTGTGATCTGGGAGGTGTCTCTAAGACGAAAGCCGGGCTGATCATAGCACTCATCTCTTTTATCCTCTTCTCTTAGGGATCAAAGCCTTGTCCAGTGTCTGAAAACATTTGTTCATTAAAAACTTGAATTTTTTCAGACACAAAAGACTTTCTGGCATTCAAATGACAGGGATCCAAGAGATAGACACAGTTCTTACTTACTGAGCTGTTTTGGATTTTTAGTAATCAGTGGGCTCTGAGAAGAAAATGTGGGCACTGTGGTGGGGTGGCCTTGGAGGAAGTAGGGAGGATGTGAGATGCTTACCAGCACTTCCGGGTCTGGCCTGGGAATGCCCAGGATATGAACAGAACTTGCCACTGCTCCCAAAGCTGTAGGCATTCTGTGAGGGAAGAAGGATGTTTGTGCATGTTCATATTCAATGGTCTGCCTATTGGCTATTTGATTACTAATGCAATTGTTCTCATTAAAAGTTTCAGAGGGTTGAAAATGAGATAATTTAATTTTGAGTGTTTACTCTATCAGCATTTCTTCAAGTAGGGCTCTTTTGAAAGACATTCTCAGCTTTAAAAATGGACATGTTAGAATTGGCAATTCTCTAACTCTATTCTTTATTTTCAGTATTAATGCTAGATACGAATCCTTATTTTTCATTTAACTTTTTTTTGTTTCATTTTTGAATTTTCCCTTAATGCCTAAGACAATTCCTCCTTCATTGTATTGGTCAAATAAATATTTATTTGACAAAGTAATTGTGTTTATACTTCTATTTTTTGTAAGAGAAGATGAAAGATAAATAATCTGTAAAGCTTGCCAGTGTATGAACATAGTTCTTTGGGGGAAATAGTCCCTTTATTATCAGCTAAACATTGTATTTCTTAAAAACAGGATTTTAAGAGAAAAGAATAATATCAACATTTTATGTCTTAAGCTTTCCAATTAAAGAGTGTGGTTTCATTATCTCAAAACAAATGAACAATCATTAAAATAATCAGTACATACTGTTTAATAGTATTCTTTTTTGTTTTTAAGGTACAGGAAAAACAATGGTGATGGACATGTTTTATGCTTATGTGGAAATGACAAGGAAAAAACGGGTTCATTTTCATGGTTTCATGCTAGATGTGCACAAAAGTAAGTTAATCATATGAAAGTAGTGATTTTAGTAGGCAAACAGTACAGAAATCATTTTCTTCATTGGATGCACATGTAATTTTTTTTCAAATAGATTTTTGTATAAAGTAAGATTTTTATCTGGTTTTGTTTTGGACTATTTTGAAAGCATCAGTGATGTTCTGGAGTTGGCCCTAAAGTCAAATGGATTAATCCAAATAAGAGACCTGGTGCTGCTGCTGTGTTCTGTCAAGTCAGTTTCGATTCGTAGTGACCCAGTATAGGGTTTCTGAGGCTGCAAATCTGTACAGGAGCAGAAAGCCTCGTCTTTTCCTACGGAGCGCCTGGTGGATTCAAACTGCTGACTTTGAGGTTAGCAGCCGAACGTGTAACCTCATCCGGGCTCCTTAAATAAGGGATCAGAGGTTACGATCTGAAAGTCAGGCTTTTTTTTTTTTTTCTATTAAGGAACAACATCAACAAAAAAAGGTAAAACTTCACCTCTTGACTAAGTCCTTTACTCTCTGTCCTCTGTGTCCCCTTAGTATGTATGTACTCAACTTGTATGTTTGCCTTATGTTTTGTCCGTTTTTTTATGCTAGCCCAGTTTTTCATTATCTACCAGCTACACTATGACCTCCACAGGGTGGGAACATTATCGTGTTCTCCTATTTCTTTCAGCATTTTGTACACATATAATGAATGCAGTGGGGTTGGCTTTAGTGTATTAGGGCTGAAGACCAGGGAACATCCTGATTAGATATACTAGACAGAACGTGCAGAATCACATCCCCACACCCGTCCATGAAACCCTCAGGACTAAGACTGATCCGCTCATGCAGCTGTCTCTCTTTTTGTCATTTCTGAGGTGGTTGGAGAGTGGAGGTGGAGTGACCTTTGAATTTCCTTACAACCATGGGAATAAAATAATATTGGAACAATTGATTTTGAGGTAGAGAAAATAGGACCAATTTCAATAATCTAATTTGATTGTATGTTGAATTTAAATTTTATTTTTAGGCCCACACTTGTTAATTTAGAGATTTAAAAAACATAGTTGTCTAAATTATACTATTAATATAATATTTGGTTTGTGTTTAATTTCCTCCATTTAAGGAATACATCGCCTTAAACAAAGCTTGCCAAAAAGAAAACCAGGATTCATGGCTAAATCATATGATCCAATAGCTCCTGTAGCCGAAGAAATCAGTGAAGAAGCTTGTCTCTTATGTTTTGATGAATTTCAGGTAAAGTAGAGATTATTCATACATGTAAAATGGTATATCCAATGAAGTGGTGGATATTTCAATTCTGCTCGTGATTTTATCATTGTTTTATAAATTGATTTAACACATTCTTATTCTCTATCTCTTCCCACCCCCCAACTTTTTAATTGGATTGGGTGAAAGCTTACAGAGCAGATCAGTTTTCATTCAACATTCCATACACATTTATTTCCTGTCATTGTCACAATTTTCTCAATGTGACATCACTTATCTCACTTCCTCCCTGCTTCCTGGTTTCATTTCTCCTTCTTTCTTAATCCTTCCTAACTTCAGAACTTTGTATTTGAGCAAATGCTGCCCTTTTGATTATAAATGGAACACATTATCTCTTATTACTTCAATTTTACTATCTACTCCAGGAGTCAGCAAAACACAGTCTACACAGGACAAATTTGGCTGGCTTTTTTTTTTTTTTTTTGTATGACCAAAGAGAAAGTAATGGTTTTTATATTTTAAAAGAGTTGGAAAGAAAAACAGAAACAACAGAGACTGTATGGGCTTAACAGCAACAATAACAAAGCAGTTAGCATACAGTTGATTCCAGTTGATGGAGACCCCCGTATTTCAGAATAGAACTGTGATCCACATAGTTTTCACTGGCTGTAATCAGCATAAGCTGACTCAATAGTGATGGGTTTTTAGTGGGTAATCTGTCAGAAGTAGAATGGTGGGTTTGAATCACCAACCAGTTGGTTAGTAGCCAAGTGCTTACCTGTTTGTGTCACCTAGAATCTTAATTGACTTGCAAAGCCTAGAATGCAGCTTTATACAGAAAAATAAGGAAAAAAATATATGCTTCTCAATTCTAATCAGAGTCCTGGTGTGACACTGTGGGTTAATGCGCTTGACTGCAAAGTTGGTTTGAACTGCAAGATCAGCAGTTCAAGCTCACCAACAGCTCCTTGGAAACCCTATACAGGGCCGTTATGGGTCAGAATGGATTCGAGGGCACTTCACCACCACCACAACAAATGCTAATCAATGAACTTGAAATTTTAGACCAAAGAGAGAATGTAATGATTGCAAAATAATGTTTTTAAAGATTTTGAGTTTTCTAAAGAGTTCAACAAAACAACACATTATATTTCCTTGTAATACTATGTATAATCCAGAGTATATCCTTTATTGCTTATAAGAGCAAATATGACATGAAGGCAAACACTATGACTGTTACTTATTCTGTATCCTCTTTCATGCCCTGTGTTACAATACTAGCTACTCTAGGTTAGAAAATAACTTCCTTTTTATCTCTCTGCTTTCTTTAGTAGTTCTTAACTGTAATAATTTTCCTATAATACTTATAAAAGTAATTGATTATTGACATAGAAATAGAAAAAGTCCATAGGGACAAAGTATAACCTTAAAAGAGGGCTTTGAGCCAAGAGGAGGCAGTGACCCAATGCTAGAAACTGTGGAGCAGCGCATCTGAAGGGAGAGCTGTGACCGCTTTTTCATCTTTCACTTTTCATTTTTCATGTATCTCTCCTCTTCACCCCAATCACACTCTTACTGCATAGCCCAGATGTCTTCAGGCAGGCAGGAGCAAACCCTCAAAAGGGTCCAGCATTGCACCCACAGTTTTCCAATGACACAGAGAGGAGACCCGCAGGCTGCTTCTTATGACATTATGACCCTGGGAACCAGCCGCATAGTTAACCTAGGTGGGGTCCTTTGCACAGAAAATCAGTGAACAGTGTCAATCACAATTTTATTTTTGTTTTTGATTGGTGGTTTCTGTCTCTGCTTTTATGTTGTTTCTGTCTTTGGTCAGTTTGGCCTTACTCTTCTCCTGGGGGTGAGAACTTTCTTCCCCTACCTTACCCAAGAAGAGACTGAAATTGTGCCCATATAGCCAAGCTACAAGCAAACCCTGCAGTACAACACCATTAGGACAAGAGCCAAAATGAGCTGCTAGGCATTACACATGAAAAGGGAAGCCTATCTCCAGATCTGGTAACCTAGTGGTTACTAATTGGGCTGCTAATCTCATGGTCAGCAGTTCGAAACTACCAACTGTACCGCAGGGGAAAGATGAAGCTTTCTGCTCCCATAAAGATTTACAGCCTCAGAAACCCTATGCAGAATTGCTATGAGTCGGAATCGATTCCTGGCATATAACAACAACAATCTCCGGATCATTTCCACCAGAAGACACTCAGCAAGCTTAACAACAAGACAACATACACCCATTTAAGCATTAAAAACTCACACAACTGTTGAAGATGTCCAAGAAAACACAATTAAAGATATCAACACATGTCCAAAAACGGAAAAAAGTTCCTATTATCTTGAAAGATGAGAAGATAAACATTCAAGAAGCTGAAAGAACCCCAGGAAGGATAGACCTCAAAAGAAAATCACCGAGACATATAATCAAGCTCTCTAAAATCAAAGACAAGGAGAGAATCCTAAAAGCAGCCCGGGAAACAAGAAATGTCACCTACAAAGGCAAGCAAATCAGATTAAGCTCTGACTTCTCAACAGAAACCATGCAGGCAAGAAGACAATGAGGAGACATATACAAAACCCTAAAAGAAAAAAGCTGTCAATCAAGAATTGTCTATCCAGCAAAACTGTCAATCAAATACGATGGTTCAATCAAAACATTCCAGAATAAAAAGAAGCTAAGAGATTTCATTAAAGCCAATCCATAGCTTTAAAACATCCTAAAGGGAGTTCTTTGGAATGAAAACCAGCAAGAACAGACAACAACCAGAGATTGACAGATGTGGGAACACCACCTAGAGCTCAGTCGATGGATAGCAGAGTTCAGAACAGAACAAAATTACAGCAATGAATTCAGAGGACCTGTGAGGCCAACCAAAGATCTAAATATTAACAAATTAAAGAAGGGGGAAATATAGGAACAGACATCCAGGTGATGATGAGGAGGTCAAGTAGATGGCAGGATACAATAGACTGTCTTAAACACAGGGAAAGCTTAACAGACTATAGGGTAAACCCAAAGAAAATGAATACTTCACAATTTACCACAAAAATGAAGATCCAAGCAGAACAAGGAAACATTAAAACAAAGAAGAAACTGACAAGAAATAGCACAAAAACCATGGATGCAACACAAGAAGGCATGCTGAACAAAGGAACAAACAGCACCACAAAAAATTAACATAATGACAGCAGTTAATCCATACCT